GAAAACATATTTAAATAGGTCTTTAAACCTAAAATATACGTCCGCTACGTAGACGATATTGTTATTTTAGCGAATAATTCAAAAGAAACAGATACTCTCAAGACCACATTTGGAAAAAACTCTGTCCTTAATTTTACCTACGAACTTATGCACAAAATAAATTCTTAGCCGTTCTCGTAGAATACGGTAAGAATACTGATACCTCCTCATTGCATAAAAAACCCACTAGCAGAAACTCTTGCCACTTTAAATTTAAGAGTGAATGTCCAACTAGCAGTGATAAAAAAAAACTTCCTAAAAAGAGCACACTAGAATTCATCTTCTCGCCTACTGTTCCTTAAAGAACTCAATAATGCTAAACAAATACTAGTTATCAATGGCTTCCCTAACCACCAAACAAGACTGTTTCTTCCCAAAGTAAATAACAATGATAGTGAACACACAGTCAAAAAAAAAGAAAAAAAATTTCTATAAAAGCCAAATGCACGTCAACTACAAACAAGATGAATATTCACTTAGAAATATTATAAACAAATACACTACCCCAAATGATTCAAACAAAAAAATCAAATTAATTATCTACTACAAAAAATTTAAAACAGCTAACCTTATCCTCAACCTGGACAGTTTCTACACATTTTGTGTCCAGAAAAGAAGCCACTTGTTTGAAAAGAAGAAAAATTAAATAAAAAGCTTAATCGCAGTACCTTGTTTGCTGTTTTTAAAGGAACATGTATAAATGAACGATTGCTGCCTAAATACACAACATATATATATATATATATATATATATATATATATAATATATATATATATAGTTTAAGCAAATTTAGATAATCCGTATGGGTAGACCTGAGGAGGATGATATCCAGAGAGCTCAATGTAAAATTCAGAGCAGATATGTAGATAAGAAATCGTAAAAGAAGGGCCTAATTTTCTGCTAGTGACATCTCTTCCAAATTTCTCCTCTAATATTCTCCAATTGGAGGTGAATTTTAAATAGCACGAAGGGAAAGTTTAGATTGGTATTTTAATTGAGATTGAAAGATACTACCCCAGTGTGGAGAATAAAATTATTTAAATGGGAATAACTATTGATAATTGGGTACATAAAAACAACCACGAGTTTACTTAATGAACAAAAATCAAACGAATAAATGTCAACCTCACAAGCTATAAGATAAAAGTTTTAGTGGAAAAAAAAAACATTACTAAATATAAATTGGATTGCTCTTTCAATGTTCTGTCTATGGATTTTTCCAATCGACTGTTTCATAGAAAATACCCAAAACTCCACCGAATTTCAAATTAATTCCTTCGTAGATTGTTTTAAAATTTAGATATTTATCAAACCTTAACCTCCCAAATATGCACGTTAAAGTAACGCGAACTGACAACGTCTAAGAATTTGAATGAAACCTGTCGTGTAATTTATTGGGGTTGTTGTAACGTCTTCCTTTAATGTAGTTCTTATCGTTCACCCCTTAGCCACCTTTATCTAGAGACGAGACGCGTTAAATTTGAGCAACATCCAGCCGACACACTGGGGTTAAAATAGGAAACTAAAATGATATATATGACACACTCATATCCTCTCTCTCCCACCTCACTTCCTCACTTCGTTAACTTTGCGTATACTTGATGAGGTCCGTAAAAAAAACGTGTGAATTTCTTTTCATTTTTCATTTCAGCTTTTGGAAGTAAAGTCGATGATCCAGAACCCTGTTAAAGGGGTTATGGTGAAATAGCTTATTACATGGAATCTTAACGTGGTCTGTCTTTTATTCAAACAAATATATATATATATATATATATATATATATATATATATATGAATAAAGACACTTTCTTAGGGGCAGCGACTCTGGATTTGAATTCCGAGTTGCCCTTCTCCTATTCTGGTTGCCAACCATAGCTACAGAGCCCAGATTACCCTACTATTTAACCCATAGCTGGAGGTTTTTGAATTCATATTTAATGCGCTGGGTGAGAGGGTATTTTAATTTAATAACGGGTCTATATGATATGATGTGATAGTAATGTTGCAAGGGATTGGAGACAATGATAATATAATTAGCTAATAGTTATTGTAGAATGGTAGAAAATGTAAATTGGTAGAAATGATTAGTAACGGTGGTGGGAGAATGATAAAATCATGAATGTAGTTATAGTGGTGGTAGCTAGTGGTGGTAGTTTGAACTAAAAAGTGGTTGTTGGTGTTTTATTTTATTTTATTTTGTTATATGTATTAATTTATTTTGGTATAAATCCTAATAATAGGTATTCTGTGTAAAATTATGGTAGTTGAAGATTGCTATAATTTTTAATTTTTAATTTACAAAATTATTATTATTATTGTCATTATATTAAAGCTGGTTATTTCCTTGTTTTTTTTTTGGGGGGGGGGTTGTGACTGTGACTGGTAGAAATTTCAGTTTGTAATCCTTATTGGTTATTTTTATGGTGGTATTAAATATGCTGGGAGAGGGGGTAGTTTACGTTAATAATTATGGCAGGATTATATGGTAAAGGTAGATATAGTGTGATAGTAATATGTAAGGGGGTTGGTGGAAATAATAATATAAGTGGTTAATATTTATTGTAAATTGTTAGTAGTGATTAGTAATGTTGGTGGGAGAATAATAAAAACCTATAAATGTAATTATTGTGGTGTTAGCTTGAACTAAAGAGTGGTTGTTGGTGTTTTATTTTATTTTATTTTCTATATTTATTTGTTTATTTTTATTTATTATGAATCCTGCTAATAGGTGTTTATTCTCATGGTTACATATGGAAATTATATCTGATCATATTGTTTTAAGGTATTAAATATGCTGGGGGAGTAATATGCGTTAAAGATTGTAGTGGATTTATATGTTAATAGTAGGTGTGATGTGTGAGTGATGGTGTTGGGTGTTGGTCGTAATGATAATATTATTAGTTAATAGTTATTGTAAAGTGGTAAAAGTGATTACTAATGGTGGTGCAATGATAATAATGATAGATGCAATTATTTTGATGGTATCTTGAAATTAAATTGTGATTGTTGGTGGTTTGTCTGTTTTATCCGTTTGGTATGAATTCGGATAATAGGTACTTGTTCTCATGCCTACATTTGGAGATTATCTCTGATTTTTTGTTTAATAAGTTCTTTTGCGGTTTGTGTGATATTATTGCTACTTTTTCGTGTAGGCAAAGTAGGCATTTTTTTGTAATGTTGTTGTAGGCAGGGGCTTTTTTCAATATTTCCCAACTTATTGTTGGTGTGATATTTTTATCTTTTTGCTGCCATATGTATGTAGAAAGTGTTGTGCTGTTTGAATATTTCCTGTTGTTGAATGAAAGGTTGTGATTGTTATTCTTCATCTTGAATGGACCTTCGGTGGCACCGGTGTAGTGCATAGTGTTGTTGTTTGTACTTACTTTGGCCTTGTATATTGTGTTCGCAATTTCCCTGGAGTGGACATGTTGTTCTGTTTCTGCAGTTGCATATTGGATCCTTGGTTTCATTTTTGTAGGTTGTCATTTTTTTGTTGTGGCTTTTGATTATTTCTGTTATGTTTTTTGTACAGCTGTAACTGATCTTTGCGTTATTTTTGTTAAATATTTTTGATAATTTGTTTGCTTCATTGAATTGTTTTTTCTAATAAGTTTAGGAATATTTTGCCTATGTTCGTTTTAACGGTTTTGTTATATGGTGGATTAAACCAGATAATGTTTCTCTTTCTGTTTCTGCGTTTTGGCTGTGGAGGTATATATTGTAGTTGTTGTGTGTAACCACTTGCTTTTAGAACTCATCTGACATACACATTTTCAATAGCAAAAAAGCACCATACAACGAAGCACTAATAGTGGGAGTGAGAGGCTTGAAGAAGAAGAGGGTGAGAAGGAAAAGGCGGGGTAATGGTAGCGTAGCAGCCTGACATGCGTAGATAATTCTTAACTTTTGGAACTATGTAAGTGGGTTAATACAGTGGGTTGATTGTTAGTAGTAGTCATTGGTACAGTTAATAATAGGAACCACTATGATGTTGTCAGATACAATAGGTGGATGCAGCAAATAACTTTAGAAAATCAAGACATTCAAAAACAAATCGCAAAATTAAGGAAGAAGCTGTAGATTATGGAAATGCTATAAAATGTGTTAGTTTGGAAACATGGAGACAGCAAGGGAGTCTTAGGTCCCACCATGTATGTAGAAGTTCGCAAAATACTTACGCACTTAAAACTATGGGTTCAAATCTACATATCGACACATGGGTATACACCTATATCCAGGTTTTCTTTCTGATGACATGAACATCTCGGTGTTCATGAAATAAAAATTAAAAACGAAATTGATAATTTAAGTCTCCGTCTTCTTATTATCATATATATATATATATATATATATATATATATATCAATCACCTTTATTTTCTTTAGGCCTTATATATATATATATATATATATATATATATATATATATATAATTATCTCCTTTAGGCTTTATTCATTTATATATATATATATATATATATATATATATATATATATATATATATATATATATATATACAAGACAAACTGGATTTTATAGACTTGAATATTAATCGCTCTAGAAGGAAAACTCTGAATTCAAAAACCTCCAACTATGGGTTAAATAGGGCTCTGTAGCCATGGTTGGCAACCAGAATAGGAGAAGGGCAACTCGGAATTCAAATCCAGAGTCACTGCCCCTAAGAAAGTGCGAACCTAGTGTCTGGTCAGAGCTGTGATGCTACATTAAGCGGCATATCTACCTCTATGGATTATTTAATACCGAAATCTAAATATGTTTGCAATTTTAATTTATTTCTTATCAGATAATATAATGATATGAGTCTTAATAATTGATCCTTAGCTGGGGGAGAAGAGATAGATTCATGCCTTTCTAAGGGTATATGCGCCTAAATTAATATAACGAATCCAACTGGAATTGGAACTCGACTCTCCGATTAACAATCCCGTGCCATAATCCATTACAGCACCTGGTATTCACAAGCCGTCACTCATCTAGGTACTGACCAGGCTTGATGTTGCTTAACTTCAGTGATCGTACCGGAACAGGATCGTAAGCCCAAATATATAAAATCCGAAGCCTGAAAAAGGATGTGCCTTGTCAGGATATTTGCCTTAGATACACCCACTGCTACCATGGCTGCAATACGTGTAGTACCCCTATGATCCTAATGGGTTACGGGACTTGTGACGTAGTGCGGTATGATTTGTCCGCTAATTTTATGATAAACACAACGGGTCTGTCCTGTGATGGGAGAAAGGTGTAATGAACATTAATTTTTGTTGTGTGCAGAGGAGAACGAATCGATTTCAAATGACAAAATACATTTAAAAAGAAAGGACGCCAAGTGGTGAGAAAACAACAATAAGATCAAAAAGCGCGAATTGTAACGAAAGATTGAATGGAAAATGGCGAATATTTGCGCATGCGTGAAATAAGTTTTCATTATTAAAATTGTTTATTCCTTCTCATTGTACTTCAAGCTTCTGAATGTTTTTCATTTTTTGTATTTGTGAGTTTGATTTTACTTTCTCATAGAATTTTAATCTTCCCTACTAAAAGCTTATTAATTCCCAACAAAGTTTAGCCAAGTCTGAAACAAGGCCACAAATATGGAACTTACTAATCACAAATATTGGTTCGGTTTGTTTAACGGCATATCAATTCCTTATGGGGGATCTAATGCCGAAATTTTATTTTCTTGTGATCTTTGGAATTTTTTTTTTTATTAAATGTATTTCTAGTAACATTATTTGTTGTTTTTTTTTTTTAACTATGAAAATATATTGCTGGTAATTTTGGAATCTTCCAAAACTAAAGCTTATGAAAATATACTTGCGATCGTCCATGACTCAAGACAGATTAAATTCTTTGGCTATTTTGTCAATAGAAAATGATCTTATAAAGAGGATATGTTTGGTATTTCAAACACCATAACAGAAAAATTAATGAGCGGCCGACACGGGTGTAGTGATCATTTTTGTTTATATTACTTTGCGTATCTGTTACGTTTATTTGCTACAATTAATGATGTTTTAGTGACCTTTGAATTATATAAAATATTTAGTATTCAATCTAATTGTATTAATTCTTATTTTGCATAGTAGCCAGTGTTTATATAGTATGGCTGGCCGGTCAACTGGCTCCGCCATCATAATTCACCTGTATCGGGTATAAACCACATCAGTTGTTATCTTTCCTTTTCTTGGGTGTGTGAACTGTCTGTGTGGATCTTATAAAGAAGATAGGCGTAGAAAGTGCCACGAAAAGATTTGCAGATCTAAATTCTGGAAAAATATTTTAAGTCGGATAATGACTGTTTTCTTTAGTTTGTAGGAAGTTGTACATTGTAATAAACTAGTTATTCTACATTTTCAGTTTTTCTCCATGTGAAAATTTTAAAAAAATATACTTGTAAGGGCGTCAAAGTTCAGCTTTCCCGGGGTGCCAGAAACCCTAGGCTCATCACTGATAATAATGAAAAAATATGAATTTGAAAGACCCAGTGAATGAGCTCACAGCTGCTAGAAACTAGGTATCTTTTAACCGCTGTTAGTTTTGAAAGGTATCATACTCCGGATCAGTGGAAGGCGAACAAGACATGGTAATTTTAACTGATATAAGTTCTCCCGTTCTGAATGGCTGACAGAATGAGAACAATGCTTTGTTCGAAATTCCGAGAAAGTTTCCTAGTATCAAAAGAGACATCTGAAGAAGGCAGAAAGAGTAAAACGGTCGAAATGTTTTGAGTATAACAACGAAGATGGGTGTGCTGGCCTGAATATCAAAGCTTATGATAAAGCCTCAACTGGAAAATTCTAATCCTGAAATATCCCACTTTTAATGTCATTAACGTACATTGAATTTGCGCGGTATATTCACTTAAGCGTAAATACCTTGGTAAAGGCATGAATCCATCTGTTTTCTACTCACCAGCTATGGGCTGAATAGCAGGGCAGACTGCGTCCTATGGCCTTGTTTGCAAGTTGTCTATCGCAGAAACAACGTAGTTGTGGAGAATAGGGCTATATCCCCATCACGCGATGTCATGTCCTTTCTGAAGCAAGTAGTTTTTTACAAGATGAAGTTGCCAGCTCCACATACAATTGGTTTTAAATTCAGAGGTGTCCTTCTCCTAGAATGGTTGCCATCAACAGCAAGAGAGCCTAGTTGTTCTTGCTAATTATAGTATAGTGCAAGTACTCATGATCAGTTTTTCTTACGTGAAAAAATATGGTATCGCACTTTACACAGGTCTTAAAAAATCATGCACTTTTGGTGACTAGTTGAACTATACATCATTTTTTTTTATGGGGACCGGAATTCACGCAAAAGGAATAGCACTATGCATGAAGTCGGCTTAAACAAAGGATAAAAGATGCAAAAGAGATTGTTTTATTTCATTTTCCAACGGTATTTCTGCGAATGTAAACACAAAGGACTCGGTAGGATTTGAATTTGGGACATTAATTCCACGGCAATAACTAGTACGCTCCGTGCACACACGAAATATGGCACTTTATATGCTATCAAATACGATAATTGAGTCTGTCCCGGAGTCAGATTGGTTGGTTGTTTTTGTTTATGTAGCGAAATATGTGTCAGCCGATATCTTGTTAAAGGAGAAAAAAATAATTTGAAAGACGTTACAGAAACAAAACGTCAGATTCATGGAGTGGACCGCCTATAACTGGTCAAACGATCCTGACAAAGAAGGTCACTGAGTGAAGTGTGAGTTCTTGATGAATGACTTTCTTTGACAGAGATGCCAAGAAAACGAATGCTTGTCTCTATAAGACAGTGGCTCCTAGAGCAAAAAGCCAAAGAGAGACAAGAGACCACTTAGGCAACGCGAAAAGGAAGACACGCCTGTTATATTGTTCGCCGCCTCAACTTGCCTAATCTCTGACCCGCTCGTCTGCAGCAGAAGGTTACAAGCGAATAAAATTTGATTACTGCTACAATTTCGTCTCATCGTTTTATTTCGTGGGTAACGATCAGGCAAAAGAGTTATTTTTTAAGCTACAATCGTCTGACTGTAAGAAACTGCCCTCACGAGAATGAACATGGTGTCTGGTCTGAGATGCAACGCTGCAATTAGCAGCATATTTATCTCTATCCGTTATTCAACACCGAAGTTTAAATATTTTGTACGCAATTTTATTTTATTTCTTTTTAGATATTAATAGTTTTAATGACTCGAGTCTTCCTAATTAACCCATAGCTGCGAGAGAACAGATGAATTCCTGCTTTTCCTAAGGGTATTTGCGCCTAAGTGAATATAATGAGCCCAAATGGAACTGGAACTCGTGTCACATCTCATCACTGACCAAACCCGACGTTGCTTAACTTCGGTCATCATACCGAAACCGGCGTTTTAACGTTGTGTGGTAATAAACCACAAAGTCAGGAGTGCAGGGCACCCAGTGAGGATTTAATTCACTTCACCAATAAATTGTCTATTAACGAAGATTTAAGTGTTACTCTATGGTAGGCGTCAGTTCTGATGTTTTTTATTTGCTTAAACGAGAAACAGATAATATCTTTTGCGGCCATTTTGAACTCAGCTTGACATTAAAAAAACATTTTTAAACAAATGACTGAACAAACATGGAGATACAACCGAGCAAGCTGAAAGAAAATAATTAAGCTAGAAAAGCACAATTTGTAGAGTTCTTTCTCCAGATGAATTTTATTTCTTTTTGTAATTTGATTCATGAATACATGTGTTTCTGGTTGGAGGGGGGGAAAAAGGGTGAACAAGAGTAAAAATAACAAAAACAAATAAACATTTATAAGTGGGAAATGTTAGTGATATTAAATACAATTCTCCTATGCATCAGTTGCAAGTTCTTCGAGAAGAATGCAATAATATGAGATTTTTTTTATTCCCTCTCTCTCTATTATCCCCACCCAAAAGGATGAAAGAGAGAGAGAGAGAAAAGATATTATTCATAAGTGCCACTGAAATCAATAAGCGTAAGTTAACTGGATATGTCTGAAAAAATGAAAAATATGGTGTTGATAATATGACAAAAAAAAGAATATTTCGTATATACATGTGTGTGTGTGCACTCTCTCTCTCTCTCCCTTCCTTCCTCACACTCTCTTTCTCTGTCTTTCTCTCTCTCTCTCTCCTTCCTTCCTCACACTCTCTTTCTCTGTCTTTCTCTCTCTCTCTCCCTTCCTTCCTCACACTCTCTTTCTCTGTCTTTCTCTCTCTCTCTCTCTCCTTCCTTTCTCTTTCTCTCTCTCTCTTCCCTTCCTTTCTCTCTCTCTTCTCTCTCTCTCCTTTCTTCTCTCTCTCTCCCTGTCTTTTCTCTCTCTCTCTCCCTTCCTTTCTCTCTCTCTCTCTGTCTTTCTCTCTCTCTCTCTCTCCTCTCTCTCTTTCTCTGTCTTTCTCTCTCTCTCTCTCCCTTCCTCTCTCTCTCTCTCTCCCTTCCTTCTCTCTCTTTCTCTGTCTTTCTCTTCTCTCCCCTTCCTCTCTCTCTTTCTTTCTCTCTCTCTCTTCTTCTCTCTTCTTTCTCTCTCTCTCTCTTCCTCTCTCTGTCTCTCTCTCTCTTTTTCCTCACTCTCTCTTTCTCTGTCTTTTTCTCTCTCTCTCTCTCTTCCTCTCACTCTCTCTCTCTCTCTCCTCTTCTTTTCTCTCTCTCTTCCTCCTCACACTCTCTCTCTGTCTTTTCTCTCTTCTCTCTCCTCCCTTCTCTTTCTCTCTCTCTCTCTTTCTCTGTCTTTCTCTCTCTCTCTTTCTCTTTTCTCTCTCTCTCTCTCTTCCCTCACACTCTCTTCTCTGTTTTTTCTCTCTCTCTCTTCTCTCTCTGTCTTTTCTCTCTCTCTCTCCCTTCTTCTCTCTGTCTTTCTCTCTCTCTCTCTCTCCTTCCTTTTCTCTCTTTCTCTGTCTTTCTCTCTCTCTCTCCCTTCCTTCTCTCTCTCTCTGTCTTTCTTTTCTCTCTCTCTCTCTTCCTCTCTCTCTCTCTCTCTTTCTCTCTCTTCTCTCTCTCTCTCTTTCTCTCTCTCTCTCTCTTCTTCTCTCTCTCTTTCTCTGTCTTTCTCTCTCTCC